TTGTTAATAGGTTACTTTTTTTTTTTTAAAGATTTTATTGGAGAATTGGGGAGGAAACAGCATTGGGGAATCGTGAAGGGGAACAAACAAGTTGCTGTCCTTTTTTTCTTCAGTCTAGTTGTGGAGGACATCGCTTCACTGGCCCATGTTGGTACTGTGATCATTGCGCTCTTCCTGGCTGAGGCAGATCGGTCGCCAGCCATTGGATGGCCGCTCACGGGGGCTCATGGCAGCTCATGTCAGCTGCTGGTCACTCATAGTAGCTTATGGCAGCCCACTGCAGCAGGAGCTGCAGCCTATGCTGTCATCAGTGACTCACAGCAGCCCAGCTCCAGGTCGAGCTGTTGTTCACCATTTAGCTGTAGAGGGCGCAGTGTCACTGGCCCTAATGTGGGACCTGAACCAGCGGCCCTGCTGCTCAGAGCTCACGCTCCCAAGCCAACCCTTAACCATGAGCCATTTGGCAGGCCCAACAGGTTATTTTTCACAGTGGTATATAGTGGCAATTTTTTATTTTAGGATTCAGCAAATGAGTAGAAATTTTGAGGATAATGGGAGCCAGGTTTTTCACTGTTAAAGAAGATAGTTACAAATATGGTGTAGGAAAACATTAGAATAATACACATGGTGCTGACAGATTAAGTTCTTCTGAGACAAGAAGAATTTAAGGCTCTTAAAGCAAAGAGCAAATCTGTACCCATAGGACATGATAAAAAATATGCATTGCTGACAAGAGCCCTGGTCACAATTTTTTAGTGAGAATTGGAAAACATTAGCAGTATGGACTTTGGAGTTACAAATTTATTTTAGTGAGTAGGCAAATTCACAAATACAGAATCTTTGAGTAATAAAGGTCAACTGTATTTTACTCTTTATAATTAAGTAATTTATGGAGATACTCTATGTAAATACTTCATTCCTTGTTAAATATGCCCTCTAAATTTACGAGAATAGATAATTCTTTCCTGAATCAATCTTTACTGAGATGATTGTAAAATGGTGATTTTTTTTCCTAATTCTAGCATTCTTTTTACATTTATTAGCTGACATTCTACTAAGGAACAGCTTTTCCTTCTTCCCTGTTATTCACTCAGTTGTTATTTATATCTGTATGGACTCCTGGATTTGTTTTATTTTATAATCTGATATTATCATTATTTATTTTGATGGTCAAATTGTCCTAATTTGGCTACTGGAAACCCCACCTCTTCAAGCTGGCTCCTGTGTCCTCTTAACAAGTTTTTATCATTTGAAAACTTGAGCACTACAGTTCAACTCCCCTTTCAACAATTTCCCAATCTTCAACAATTCTTTGTTATCCCTCCTTCAAAAATTNTGGCCCAGGCAGCAACTGATCTTGGCCTGCACCCAAGTCCCTCCCAAGAGACCCCAGAACCAACACACTCAAGTGGCCAGCTTTAGGCCAAACCAGAGTATGACCCAAACACCTCCACAAGTGACACACCCTAAGGGCAGACTCGGCAGCCACCAGAGCCCCAGAGCCCCGCTACAGCAAATCCTGCTCCATAAGGTCAGACCCTGCACAACAGCTCCTCCACTGTAGTCACAACCAATCAGCCTGAGGATCAATCCCTCCCACTGATGTCCCAACAGCAACCAAGTCTCAACTACAACAGGAGGACACACCTGGAGCACCCAACTCTGGTGACCAGGAAGACTGTGCTACTGAGCCCAATAGGACACTTACTACATAAGGCCACTCTACCAAGACTGGGAGATGTAGCAGCTCTACCTATACAAACAAACAAACACAGGGAGGCAGGTAAAACAAGGAGGCAAAGAAACACGTAGCAAATGAAATGCAACAAAACTCTAGGGATCTCCCATAAGACTGTCAGCTGATTTCTCAACAGAAACTTTGCAGGCCAAAAGAGATTGGCACAAAATATTCAAAGATGAGAAGAAAGAACCTATAACCAACATTACTCTATCCAGCATAGCTATCATTCAGAATCAAAGGACAGAAAAAAAAGAGCTTCCCGATAAGAAAAAGCTAAAGGACCTCATCACTACCAAATCAATATTACAAGAAATGTTAAAGGGGCTTCTTTAAGAAGGAAAAAAAAAAAAAAAGATAAAAAACGTGAATAATAAAATGGCAATAACTACATATCCATCAACAATGACTTTAAATGTAAATGGATTAAATGCTCCAATCAAAAGACATGGGGTGGCTGACAGATAAGAAAACAAGGCCCCACATATGCTGCCTGCAAGACTTACTTCAGATCCAAAGACACACACAGACTGAAAGGGACAAAAAAAGATATTTAATAAAAATAGAAGAGAAAAAGAACACTTGGGGTAGCAATACTTTTACCAGA